CACACACACACACACACACACACACACACACACACAAACACACACACACAAACACACACACACACACACTGTCACCCAATGACGTCACCCAGGTGCTGCCCTATGACCGCCTGATGGCAGTCCTGGACATCGGTAGCATGCGGCAGGTGAGGCCCCCGGGGGAATGCCCTCTTGTTTTGAACCTGAGATTTGCCCCTGAAAATTTCGAGAGGAGCCCCAGGGTGTGTTGGCTGCGAATGGAAGGAGGGCTGGGCGACTGCTGCCCCCAGGCTCCGGGCCATGCCTTTTGAAGCGCGGGCGCTTCGATCACTGGTCCCGGGGCTTGCTGCGCTCGCGCCCGCCCCCGCCTCGAGCGCCCATCCCCTACCAGGCTCCTTGCTCGAAATTGTTGGACGGCTATTCATGCGTCGAACCCCTGATGTTCACGTAACACAACACACAAACACACACACACACACACACACACACACACACACACACACTCGAAGACACACACATCACGCGCACACACACTCGCACACACACGTACTTACACACAACAACACTTGCACTCATACACACACGCACACACACACACACACACTCACACACACTCAAACACCCTCACCATCACCCCAGCTGGAGGACTTCCTCATAGCCCACTGCTTCTACCCGGGGCTGATGCAAGGAAAGCTGGACCAGGCGGAGCGCTCCCTGCAGGTGGGCGCGCAGCCCCTAGGCCTGGAGTACGTATGCCATGTACCGCATGCACCGCATGTACCGCAGTGCGCGCTTGCCGCGGCACGGCGCCCCGCCTTTTTCCAGCGTTTGGCCCCGCCCTGCCATTGTCTCACGCTGGGCGAGGGCGCATGGTCCTTCTGAAATAGCGCTTTTGGAACGTACCATGCGCCTGTAGTGCAGCCACACGCACATACACGCGCACACATGCACACGCGCGCACACACACACACACACACATGCCACAGGTGCACTCAGCTGCTAGCCGGGATCAGCGGCCAGAGAACCTGCCCAGGCTGGCAGCTGCGCTCGACCAGTGGTGCGCTCTCGACCCATACGGACCGGGGCAGCAGCCGGGAACCTCCTGGAGCGCGCAGGGCTCTGTATCGTGCTGTTGCAGAGACCCAATGCCGTCAGCGCAGGGCGCGCGAACGCCCCGGGCCTGGCCCTGTTTGCGGCCCGCGCGGCGCCCCCGCCCACGGCCGGCCGGGGCGCCCCTCGAACGTGCCGTGCACCGCCACCTGGCTGCCCGTCGCTGCCATATGCTCACACCCTTGACAAATGCACACACACACACACACACACACACACACACACACTCACAAACACACACACACACACATGAAGAACTTTGCACACACACACACACACACAATCACAAACACACATGATCTTGATCTCTCTCTCACCCACATACACACACACACCCTCCCCCAGGC